GCGTATTTAGATATTCGTGACTCCATCTACGCCAAAACATTTGTGAACATTTTTGAATATATTGCCAACGTGATAATCGATTTATTGTTATATCCTCTACATTATACTCAGGTACTGCTGTTAACCCTTTTCCAATTAGAAAGTGTCCCGCAGTCAAAACGTTGAACTCATCAGGATTATCACTAGCTGGTAACGGACAAAGCGGCCGCGAGTTGAGAATCGCTTCTACTTTACAAAACACTGTTGTGAGTTCCTCGAACGTCAAACTTTTTTCTCCTACGGCTCGCGTTAATAGATACTTGGCGGATTTAATTCCAGCTTCCCAGAGCCCACCCATATGTGGTGCACCAGGGGGATTAAATCTCCATATAATTTGTCGTTTTGAGCAACCCTCTAATATATTGTTTTTTTGTTCGAGCATAAATCTTTGTACTTCGGTTAAATGCTTACTAGCAGCTATGAAATTAGTTCCGCAATCCGAATAAAGGAAGGAGCACACACCGCGTCGCGCTACAAATCTGTCTAAACACGCGAGGAAACAGTCCGATGACAACTACGATAAGACTTCAAGGTGTACAGCTTTTGTCGAATAACAAATAAATAATGCTAAATATGACCGTTCAACCCTAGCATTTCGTCGTAAACTTTCTTTTGTAAAGAACGGACCACCGAGGTCCACCCCTACATGCTCAAAAACATTACAAGGTATCAATCGGGCTGCTGGCAAAGGTGCCATCTCAGGCTGTAAGAGCACTGGGTTGTGTTTAAAACAAATTTTGCATTTGGACAAAACTGACCGAATAATGCGACGGGATGCTAAAATCCAAAAATTTTGATTAATAATGTTTTGTAAGGTGCGTGGACCTACGTGTAAATATTTTTTATGTAAATATTCAATAAGTAAAAAGGTAAATCTACTATTTTTAGGTAATAAACGAGGATGCTTCGCGTTATAAGGTAACGCTGAATAATTTATTCGACCCCCCACCCTGAGGTATCCGCGTTCGTCAATAAATGGAGATAATTTTCTCAACGACGGAACGTACTTTGTGCCCTTTGACAATCTATTTATTTCATTTGCGAAGTATGCACTTTGTACTAATTTAATTAAAACATCTTGGGCAGTATTTAATTCGTTAGTCGTCAGTATTGATTGCTTCGAGTGACCGGATTTGAGTCGGAACCATCTCAATATTCGAGCAAACGTACGTTGCAGTTTATAATAAGAAGAGAAATTGGAAAAGATTCGGTCACAGAACTCTAACTTAGTCTCCTCTATCGAATTATTTTCATTTGTGATTAAATTGAAGGAGCCTAATGTATGATTTGATTTCATTTCGGGTGTATTACTTTCATGTTGGTTGATAAATGTTCTCACTGGCCACTGCGAATAGTCGTCGTACAACCAAGATGGGCCCTTCAACCACTGCTCACTGCACTCCACGAGCTGTGACGGAGACGCTCCGCGCGAGCATATGTCTGCCATATTGCACTCACTACTCACGTGACGCCAACAGTGTGGAGGTAACACTTCACATACCTGAGTAACACGGTTACTAACAAACGGCTTTAATTTGTAAGCTTCTGTCTGAAGCCACGTCAACACGATAGTCGAATCGGTTAACGCAGTAATACGAGTAATTTTTACACGAGTTAAAATGTCACGGACATATCTAATTAATTTGCTTAACAAAACTGACGCCATTAATTCCAACCTCGGGATAGTTAATGGTTTGACGGGGGCTACTTTAGATTTTGCTGTCACCAGGCGTACTTTAGTTTGACCTCTATCGTTACGACTGATCACATACACACAACTAGCATAACCGCGAGAGCTTGCATCGCAAAAGGCGACCAATTCACATTCGGTCTGTTCTGGTAGCAGCATATGTCTATCTATCTTGATTGCCGTTAGTCGCGGGAGATCATCAACGTAATTAAGCCAGCGCTTAGTTACGTCAGTTGGCAGCTGCTCATCCCATCCTATGCCCAGCTTCCATAAATCTTGCATTATCTCTTTCGCGATGAAAATGCACGGTGAAATAAAACCCACGGGGTCGTAAATAGAAGCTAATAATTTTAAAACAGAACGTTTAGTTGTTACTTTATCAGTCTTATCTACTGTGAAATAAAAACAGTCAGTCAAAGGGAACCATTTCAGACCTAGCACTTTGACTGAATATTTGTTACCATCTTTCATAAATGTAACAGGACACTCTCGGTTTTCTAACGGAACGCGTTGTAAAACTTTTGCACTATTACTCGCCCACCTTTTGAGTATAAAGCCACCGGAATTAAACATCTCTAAAAGTTCATCTTGTAACCGAGATATCTGTGACAATGAACTGCAAGAATATAGAATGTCATCCATGTACACGCCCTCGCGCACAACCTTTGCAGCGAGTGGGAAACGTTCTTCCTCGTCATAGGCTAACTGTAAGAGGGTGCGGATAGCTAAGAACGGTGAGCAACTTAAGCCGTAAGTGACAGTTTTTAATTCATAAACGTCAATGGCATCGTTAGGCGAATGACGATACAAAATATGTTGATAACATCTATCTGACTGATTCAGTTTAATTGCCCGATACATTTTGCATACGTCACAAATCAAACAATATTCAAACAACCTAAAATTCAATATTATAGCCCCAATATCTCGATACAGATTAGGCCCGGTCAATAGAATATCATTAAGCGAAACGTTCGTGGACGTTTTAGCTGAGGCATCGAATACCACACGCAAAGGAGTAGTGGAACTACTGGGCTTAAGTATACTGTGATGAGGTATCACATATTTGCTCGGGGTGTCCCCCGAATAAAGCTCCATGTGCCCTAGATTTTCATATTCGCACATGAACTCTGAATAGGCTTGTCGTAATACAGGTGAACGATTCAACTTGCGCTCGGTGACCAAGAGTCGCCGCTCGGCTGCCGCTCGTGACGCGCCCAACGGAGGCGGGTCTGGTATGAATGGTAACGGCACTGAATAGGTACCATCCTCAGTACGACTATAACGAGCCACGAAAATGTCTTCCGCCAATTGTTCCAAAGGATTAATCGAGGGTTTGCTTGGCAATTCTTCGATTTCCCAAAACTTACGCAACGTTTGATCTAAAGACTCTTGTTCATCAAATGAGACTGATAAATTATAATTTTTTAAATTGTCCTTATCATTGCTATAAAGTTTACGACTTACAACAAACCCGAAAGCGGTATCGATCACGCTTGGTATATCCGATGAAATAATATAAGGTTTATCCTTAATAAGTTCCGAAACTATATCATTGCCCAATAGTATATCGATACGCGAACGCTTATAAAATAATGGATCAGCTAAATTAAAATTCTTATATTTATTAATAACGTCCGAGTGGAATCGAACGTTAGGCATATCAGCAGATACCTTAGTCACTACGACCATGTTCAGTGTAAAACTAGGTAGGTCAGTGTGTAGGGACCTTAATGTGCATGTAATCATGCCGTGATTTTTTACAGCCTCTCCACCGAGACCATAAATATTAAACGAACACTTCTTTCGAGGTAAGCCCAAACGTTGAGCACACTCAGTTGTAATAAATGAGCTCTGAGCTCCAGAGTCAATAACTGCACGGCAGTATTGAAGCTGGCCGCTACTATCAATTACTAACACGCGAGCCGTTCCCAATACAACACCGTAACCCGAGTGAACGTTATTGGAATGAAGCGTATCTATCGTATAACGCTCTGAGTCACTCATAGCCTGAGACGAGACGAGTGCTTGTTGCACTTGCGAGTCTGAGCACAATGGACGGGTGGATGTTGGCACGAGCGTGTCGCTCACTGGCTCCCTATGCAATAGATAATGATGTAGTGACGCACATACACCACAAGACATCTCACTTTTACAAGTTGAGGTATCATGATTTCCTTTTAGGCAATTATGACACAATTTTAAGGTATTGACACGGTCAATCCTTTTATCTACGGTCAATTTACGAAATTGATCGCACCTATAAATCATGTGATTTTGATTGCAATGGGCGCAAATTATTTTTTTATTTTTATTATAATTCGACACATTAGTATTTAACCCATATGTGCTCACCGCCCCATTTTTAAAACGGCACATTATTTATTATCTGTGGTGACCTAAAACTGTGGTTTGATTTTTGAATGGTACTTTTTGCTATGTTTACACTTTAGCATCATTAAAAAAAGAAACGTCAAAGTGTTGGCGCCATTTTTTCTTTAAAATTTGGAAAAATAAAAAGTGCAAGTGTGGTGTTCACGATGGCGAGAAGTAAAAAGTAAGTTTATTATTATTTTTTCATAAGTAAAACTGTGTAAAGCAGTTTGTTATGTGTATTAGTTTACACGTGGTTAGTTTTGTGATAAAAATCGATTCTTTCTGTTGGGATTTAGTTTTTTAGAGGCATTATTTATAGCGCCCCATTATTGGGGCGCTGATCGCGTACTTGCACGTTGATTTCAAATTTCATAGTATATGCGTTATATTTTATTTACATTGTTTATAGCTACTGCCAGTTATATTGGTACTTTATATGTTATATTTTTATATTTATTTTGTTGTTTTAGGTTGAGTTTGGCAGAAATTATTGACATATTGGAGACGGAAGATGACATTGTTGAGGGCACTATCTACACATGCCCGCCTAGCAACCATATGTTGAGTGACTGCGATAGTGACGAGGAAGATGCGCTTGTAGGTGATATCAATCACCTGACAGGTAACCAACTACGAGCCGAGGCGCAGCTTGAATGTGTGCGCAAATCGGGTCCACTATTACAAACAGAATTTATAGGATTGGAGTCGAGTGATGACGACAACGTACCCCTATCGGAGATCGCATCCACTTCTGCGCCAAAAAGAAAAAAGAAAGTGGAAAAAATCAGATTTACCCGAATATCAAAGAAAGGAATGCCATCGTCCCGAGTTTATAGACACTAATAGGTCGCCTACTGAATTTTTTGAATTATTTTACGATGACGACGTTGTGAATTTGTTTGTAGAAAATTCAAGAAGGTATGCGGTTTTCGAAGGTAAACATTTTGATGTTACCAAAGAAGAAATTCGCCTCGTTTTAGCAATACTTTTGCTAAGTGGATATAACGTTCAAGCAAGGAACCGCATGTACTGGGATACTGGAATCGATACCTATCACCCTGGCGTAGCTAATGCAATATCTCGATCTCGATTTGAACAAATACTTCGATTTATGCATGTTTCTGATAATGCAGCTTTAGATGTCCAGGACAAGTTCACAAAAGTGCGACCTTTATGGGAGAAACTAAACGAAAAATGGATGAAGTATTGGCCTCAGTATAACGAAGTTAGCATCGACGAATCAATGATTCCGTACTACGGCCATCATAGTACAAAACAGCACATTCATGGAAAACCCATTCGTTTCGGATTCAAGTGCTGGTGCATGTCTACACGGCTGGGATATCTTATACAAGCCATACCTTATCAAGGGGCTAGCACAGGCAACACTAATCCCGATTTAGGTGTTGGAGGATCTGTCGTTATGAACTTGGTGGCCAAATTGCCTACAGATTTCCCAGTTCATGTTTACATAGACAATTTTTTTACATCGTTTAGATTGCTCATCGCTTTGAAGGATTCTGGTCACCAGGGGACAGGAACAATACGGGCCAATAGGGTCGAAAATGCGCCCTTGGAATCAATCGCTGACATCAAGAAAAAACAGCGTGGGAGCTATGATCAAATCATCGATGAAACATCAGGCGTGTCTCTAGTGCGATACAACGACAATAACGTTGTTACCGTAGCTTCTACCTGTGAAGGTGTTTCTCCAGTTGGATCCGCACAGCGATGGTCAAGTGCTGAAAGAAAAAAAATCTCGATTCAACAGCCCTTTTGTGTTCAAATGTATAATCAATATATGGGCGGAGTAGATCGTCTAGATCAAAACATAGGCTGCTACCGCATTAGCATAAATAAAAAAAAATGGTATTGGCAACTTCTGATGTGGCCCTTGAACGCTTCAATGAATAACGCTTTTCAGTTGTACAGGCTCTCACCAGCTGGGCAAGAGAAGGGGCATCTTGATTTCCTAGCCTTTATCAGGTCTGTGGTTACAACTTATCTACGAAGATATGCGTCGGCTCGCTCTTTAGGCCGTCCTATGAAGCCGTCTAGGAAAAGGAGGGTGCCAGACGATGTACGTCTAGATGGGGCTGACCATTTAATTATTTCTAGTGCAACTCAGATACGTTGTGCCGAATGCCATAAAAATACTACTAAAAAATGCCGAAAATGTGATGTCGGCTGTCATACTAATTGTTTTGAAATTTTCCACTCCTAAATATATGATAAATACTGATAGAATTAGCACTATTATATAATAAATATTCTTTAAATATAATAAAAATTTCTTTACAACCTCTATAATAGTTATTATATTAATATTACTCTTTAAATTTATTAAAATTGAAAAATTTAAGGAATTGTTATGAACGTGGTCTACCGTGCTTAGTGCCCCAAAATTGGGGCGGTGAAAATGTCCAAAATGGTTTTTTTTTTATTATTTAATTTTCAGAAAACCCTATTTTTATGCTAATTGGACTTAGAATAAAACAAAAAAATACCAGTTTTTACGAGAAAAAAAAGTTGAGCACATACGGGTTAAAACTGTCTTTGAATAACTTTTGTAGTGGTTATTATTGTTGCCTTTGTAATTGTTACATATAGACTTATTTCTTGATTGTAACGACATCGTACTATTCGATGAATGTTCGAGTACTTTAACTTGTTTATTTACAAAACTAATTAATTCCGAAAAAGATGGAAGTGAATTTTGATCCCGATTTTCTTCAAAAAGCCTCCTAGTATGCGCATCCAACCCACGTAAGGCTAAATGACAAAATAAATAGTCATGTAAATTTTTAATTTTTAATGCCTCGACGGCTTTAAAAGAGTGATCGAATGTTTCGATAAATAAAGTAAGATTTGCGGTAGTGTCTTTATTTAACGGCGTAAAGTTTATCATTTTGTCGATGTACCTACCCACGAGTATTCGATCATCTTGATATTTATTACATAAACTTTGCCATACGACAGTATAATTAGCGGCTGTTATGGGCAATTTTTTAACAATGTTTAATGCCGAACCTTTAACACATGAAAGCAAATAGTGAAACTTATCTATTTCGTCGAAATCTCGATTGTGGACAAGTGATACAAATGTATCGTAGAATGTGGTCCACTTCTCAATATCACCATCGAATTCAAATAAACGTAATTTAGGTAATGACGGCCTTACATCACTCCTATCTTTCCTACTGAGGGATGCCTGCTCGTCCGGTTTTAATCTTAAATATTGCAACCTACATGCCTTATAAAGTTCATCAAATGTATCTAATTCTCGCGTTGACAATCTTGTCTCCGGTTTTAATGATATATCTATTTCAATAATATTTAACACTGTTTCTTCAAACTTTGAGCGGACACTTTCTAATTCGGAATAATCGGCTAAGAAATTCTGAATTTGTGTGGGATCATTTATTTGGGATCTCGCGATATCGAAAACCTTTTGTAATTTAGCAAATAGGTATTCCTTTTTAAAAATAAGTGTTTGCCTTTTTATTTGTAATTTATCCGACATTATGAACAAATTACAAAATTAATACTTTATAAACGCACCGCGAGCAATGGACATCCAGGTAAAAAAGAGGCAAATTAAATAAGGGATATTAAATTAATTATGTGCGTAGTTTTACTCAAATATATGACGTCCACGGGACGCGAATTAAGGGTAGAAAATTATTATTCGAAGATCACTAATTCGAATATATGCGGCTCGAAGGCCAGAAATGTGGCGGATTGGGATTATTTTACTAGATATAGTGGACTGTATTGAGAATCTAAATCCCCTGAAACGTTCAGTTACCGCAGTCACAAAATCACACCAAAAACAGCAACAAACTACTCACGGTCTTACTAGCCAGCCTCCCAAGATCAGCAAACGTTGACAGTTCCTGGTAGCTTCTTCTACACGGTAGAATACACTAGCAATTAGATTGTACACGGTACACTCTGGAGTAGTCCCTTTTTAAAGTTTTTGGAGAGATGTTCACATCACGAACACAAAGAGAATGTGTATGGCTTGTCTCGCCTCCTACCCTCCTCTTCCTTTTTTTAACTCCACAGATTATTACAACGCATATTACGTCGCAATGTTGCCACTAGGTGTGACCGGCGCTCCGATCGTAGCAGATCATTGTGCCTCGGTATAAATTTTGTGAGTTGCGGTTTATTACTGAACAATACCGTGTAGTGACGGTGAAAATATCCACTACCCCATATCGACCCGTGGGTCTCGTAAGAGGCGATAGAGGGAAACTAAGCAGGGAGACGGGCAGCAGCATCTTACTGAATACAACTTAAAATTATAAAAAACCGCTTGCCAAGCGTGGCAATCGTGGCATAAACCCCGTATGAGGCAATCTATGGGGGCGGCCTTTGTTCAACAGTGAACTTTTATAGACTGCAATGGATAATGGAATTTACTTAAATATACAAGTACAAAATAAAGGGCAGAGAACATCGATGTAACAACATGTTGAATACAAAAAACTTGTACTGTAAATTGCATACATTGCGCATTTATAACCTAAACAAAGTGCAAGCTCCGGTTCAATTAAGCCGTTAGCCTAACCGATGCTGCATCTCAACAGGGCTGCCTGGCGCTTTTTGATATATTTTTTTTAATTTAATACATGTTATATACAAAAGAAGTAATATAATAAAAAAATAAAAAAAAAACATCAGAAGTCCACTGCTGAACATAAGTACTGAACTGAAATGAACAAGGAATGCCACAAAACACGGTCCTGACCCACCTGCATCCATCGACTTCTGCATGTCTTATCAGGTCGTCACTCCATCCAGTGGGCGGGCCCGCTCTATATTTCACCTACCGGTACGAGGTTGGCATTCGAGAACCTTTCTCCTCCATCGGTTGTCGGTTTTTCGAGCTATATGAGCGGCCTATTGCCACTTCAGCTTACTAATCCGTTTGGCTATGTCAGTTACTCTGGTTCTACTGCGGATTTCCTCGTAGTGTTCCAACTAGTAGGACTTGAGATAAACATGGCCTAGGCAAAAATCATGTCCAACGTCCATGTTATACTTATACCGGCAGTCGTTGGGAACACTTCGCTCGAAGTTGTTGACAAGTATGTGTCCTGGAAACCTGGGAAAAAATGTCCCATTATGGAAGTCAAACTTCGACCAAGAGCTCAAACGACAAACCCAGCTCAGTAGAACTGCGATCGGGAGCGACAAATTTCTTGCCTGATATTCCTCAAAACCGTAAGATTAAATTGCGTGTTGTCAGTAATGATTTACGGAACTGAAACGTGGTATTTCACTGTTGGCCGTATGAGAAAGCTCAAAGTCACTAAGCGTGTGACGGAAAGGTCAACGCTCGGTATTTCAGCGCAGGATAAAGTCCGTTACGAGGATATCTTTTCAGATTGGAGATGGTATAACATTAACTACTTGGTATAATAATTTGCTTCACACCGAATTTCGATAACGCCGGCCGGTCTCACCGTCAGCCCGACCAGACACCACATGATCAGTATTCACGCTTACCATTACACCCACGGTTCTGTCAAGTTGAAACACTCAGAAATATGATCAGCAGTAGATTTGTGATGGGTAGTAGATACAGTAGTAGTAGTGATGGTGGTAGTGGTGGTAGTGTCGGTAGTAGTGGTGGTAGAGAGCATGTTTAATTGGCGCCGTGCAGGGTGTAGTGGAAATAATAGTCAACCAAGTTCTATAACAAAAATTACTTACTGATTATTAAACCTTAAAAGCTAGGCTGGTGGTGTTCAACCCAGGGAGCGGCCAACGCTCCGTAAAGTTTCACGGAGCTTTTATATTTATAGCAAAGTCATTGGGAAACTTCGATAGCGTGATTTTAAGGTTTCCTTTGATGTTCGTTTCATATAGGTCATTGTGGCTCGGTGAAAGCACCGCCACAAGCTCTCGACATCAAGAGGGCAGTGTGGGAATGGAGCATTCTGTTTTTATTCAAAGATTATTTTGTATAACTTTATTTCAATAAAGCCACACAAATCGATTGTCTAAACAAAATGTCAATGTTCTATTAGTTCTAAGCATATTTAATGGAATATTAAAACGACGACGATCGACGACACAAGCCGATAGTAAATGGTACTGCAAATTAAAATAGCAACATGTTGCCATTTATCTTAGTAAAAACCTATTCCATTTCGTTTACAGCGTATAAAAGTCCACTGCTAAACATAGATCTCTCCCATAGATTGGCTCATAGGGAGCATTTGGCCATAGTTGCCATGCTTTTCAGGCGAGTTGGCAACCGCAGTTTATTTTGAATTATTATCAGGAATATGCTGCTGCCCATCACCTGTTTAGTTTCCCTCATTACGCGGTAAGCGTACGCACTCGTCTTCAAAGAAATACTCTACATTGTAGCAATTAAATTATTACGTACTAGCTGTTCTCTGCGACTTTGCCCGCGTGTAATTTAGGGTTTTAATTATATTGCTCAGAGCCCTAATTCTTTTTCTGAAATATAAGTAAGTTAAAGTTAATCCTTAGAACATCAGCTATCTGCCAGTGAAAGTACCGTCGAAATCGATCCAGCCGTTGCGGAGATTAGCCGGAACAAACAGACAGATAAGACCGACAGACAGACAAAAATTGTGTTTTTGTTATAAGTACCGTATATACATTCATATGCATTAAGTAAAAAGCTGTTATTTTAACATTACAAACAGACACTTCAATTTTATTTATTTGTATAGATTATAAATGACGAAGCAGAACACCTTCTTTGTTAGCTACAGAGGTATACCCACAAGGAAAGGATAGAAACAGAAAGTAAATCAGATAATTTACCATAAAGCCACCCTCTACTCCAGCTATCTGATATTTTATATTTCACTAACTCTGGTGTCCGAAACAAAATACATTTTCGCGATTCAATTTTATTCGCTGACCCAAATTTCGTCGATCGGGCCAAAACTACGCAGGTCCGGCGTGATTGCTTATTGATTTGTTTTGGACATTATTCGGATGTATTTTTGGATTTATAGCCTTGTGAGTTTGTTCAACGTTGCACAACAGATTTAATCAATTCCATTCCATTGCAGCTTCATTTAAAACAATAAACAGATGCGTTTAACGTAAAACATCGACATGGCAGTCTACCATGAATCGTACTCCTACTGGTTATAGGACTCACTTTGATAATATAGTTTTTACTATTTACATTTGTGTTGTATATAAAAACCAGCGAGGTTGGAGCCA